ATGTTGTTGGTTTATTGCTGTCGATTCCACTTACTTTAAACATGATTCGACAAGAGACGCTCCACAGGGGTTCCCGCGAAACGGCAAGCTAAATTCATGGAAACATATTACAATGAATATGCCATCATTCTTCCAGAACCATTATCCGGTATTTGATATGCCACACTATACGCAGGAAGATCAATTCGCAATGCGTGGGCTACCAAATATCCCCCAGAAGGGCAAGTAGTCTTTTGTTTCAAGGTACTTTTTTTATATATGACATTTCTGTAGCAAATTCAGTTTACCTAGCTGGTCAAGATTTTGTTATATCATTTTTCACGCGTTACATAATATATACAGTTGAGTCCTCATGAAGGTTCCAATGACAGCTTTTCTAAGCTCAGTTCTGCTTTCTATCAATATTGATTAACTCTGATCCGATAAGAGGTTTATCGCGTGGCAAAACAGATAGATACCCATCTCTTATTAATCCACATGAGACTGAAAGTCTTTGCTGCGGCAGCGGGAAACATTGTGAAGATATAATAAGATACCTACTATTATATAATGACGACAATCGCAATCAAGAAAATTAAGGAGGCTTTTTTATTTTCTTTCATATTTGCGTTACCAATCAACTTGTTAAAACTCATTTATCACTGAAAAGTGCAGTTTTGTCATCTGCCTCCTGGGAAAAGCCAAACTAGTAGTCTGTCAAGTATTGGGGAGAGGTTATAAAAGTAAAATCATAGGAGCATGTATCGAACAACAGAAAGTTAAAATGTGGCTGTAGCTAATTACTTTTTCAGATTAGACTGTGTTTGGATTGAAGATTTATGATGTGGCATTGTACCGAATTACCTGTGCCTTGTACCAAACCACCTGTTAGACTGATCTTATACTCAAGCTAGTTTGATCAAGATATCTGTCTTCAGTTTATTTGATTCAACTGTTAGCTTAATTTCTCCAAGTAAAGATTCAGGTTTCCAAAATGTTCGAGAGAGATATCATTTCTTAATTGGAAAAGCTCTGTATTTATTTGTAGTCTTTGTTTGGAATATTTTCTATTTGTATGCCCATTAATGCCATGTTAAAACCTTTTCCTGAATTTTTTTAGCCATATGAATATGAGTCAAATTATCGACAGGTCCCTCGGGAGTTTGATCTTTTTAATGCCCGATATAGCTGCTCATTAGTGGCTTTACGATACTCTGGAGATTTTTTAAAATTTTTTATTGTTAGTTCTCATAGATCATTCTTTCTCAAGTATCCGCTTTAAATGTTTTAATTATACTTCTTCTCATGTTTAATTTGAAAATAAATTTTTCTTGATTCCGCTATCGCTCCTCCTCATGCGTTGTCCGCTGAAATGTCTAAGCCATTTTGTTCCTCATTTCATAAGCAGCAATTTTTTTGCTTGTATCACTTTTTTAAATGACTGTATCTCAACAGAACATTTCTTTTATCTCTAAAACTTTAACTTTCGTGAATTTCTTTGTGGAAAACATTCATTTTGTAGTTCGCCTCAAATAATCTTATTTAGATTGCTTAACTTTGATTGAAAAATCTTTGTCTTAGTTTAAAACAAAGAGGTTTTTGCCGGGCCGATCTTGCACGAGCATGAGGGTCTTCAAATTTACCCATTATAGCTATAAAGAACATGACTCCTGCTTACAGTAATACAATTGGTCATAGTTATGACTATATTCAAAAAAATGGCGTATTCGCTTTGCTGTAGACGAATTCTTCTAAAATCCTACTTAAATGTAATATCTTTATTAAATTTAAAAATGTGCAGCAGAAAGCTGGTCTCAATGGTAACGCGCTTGTTGTATCTCACCTT